GTACTCATACTTGACGCCCTTTTCAGCCAACGCTAATCTCACTCTCATACCAAATGGACTTGGCCAGAAATCCAACAGGGTCACTTGACCACCAGCCATTCTTGAACTGAAAAAGAAGATGTTGCAAGTTAAGGTTCTTTTGCTTTGTTTTCTTGGGATACAAATGTGGTTGTGTTCTGGCAGTATCGAAATAAGAGTATTTATGGTTGGAAAAAAGATGGAGTGAGTGGATTATGGCAAATTTTTTAAGGTTGTGTTCTGCCAGTATCGAAATAAGAGTATCTGTGGCTGGAGTGAGTAGATTATGGCAGACTTTTTAGGGTTGTCTGATCGAAGGGAGGAGAGTAATATAATTTATATTTTGATTGTGTTTAATATTTAAAAATTTTAATTTGAGAAGATAAATACTAATTTTGAATTTTATTATTTTTAATTAAAATTTAATTATTCATACAATATAATTTTGATATATATAAATTTTAATTTAAAATATTATTTTAATATATTTCAACTTCAAAAATATTAAAAAAAAATACAACTACACTCCAAAACAAAAATCAAAGTTTTTTTAAAAAAACAAAGAGTGTGTTAAGTAATAGATTTTTTTTTCATTTTAATTTTTTTTCTTTTCCAATGAAAAAAATAGAAAATTTCATTCTTTTGTTTAGATGTATTTTTCTATAAAAAAAATAAATGCATCAAGAGTATAACAAATTTTCATAAAAAATCAAAATCATAACTTTTAATTGTTATATTGATATTACTTATTATAAGAAGTTATATTATTAAAATAAAAAAATATATTAAATTTATAGTAAAAAATAATTTTATGGTGTTAACTAAATATAAAAATGTTGGAAAAAATAATTTTAATCTTTTATATTGCTAATGAGTTTTTAGATATAAAAGAAAAAAAATTATAATTTTCATGTATTTTCTTGATTTGAAAAACTAGTAAAGAAAAATATTTTTTGAATAAAAAAATATTGTATTTGATCGTGAGGTTTCAATTTTTATTTTTATAACTTTAAATTTTTAGAAAATTAAAGTATTACTCAATTTATCTTGCAATTGTCTTGTTACTCCTTTGATTCAGAAGTGCCTAACTGTCGCTTTCCCACCCGAAGGAAAGAGGAGTCCCTTGCGCAGTCATTGCTGTAATAAAAAAAAATAAAAAATAAAAATTATGTGCATTTCTAAGATGAAATTATAATTTTACTTTTAAAAAAAAATATTTAATTTTTTTTTAAGGATATGGATGTTTTTTTTATAAAACCGTTAGTCATTATAAGAATAAAAATAAAAGGGGTTCAATAAATAATTATGTTATTACTATTTAATAAAAAAAACTAGATTTTACCTTAATTTTAATAGAGTTAAGTTTCTTCGTTGCACTTGAAATCTAAAAAACTTTGTCCTTGAAATTTAAGATGTTTTATCCTTTATAGTTTATATTTAGTTATTTTGTAATTATTAAGTGTAATTAGGGTAGCAGGGTAATCTTGTAAATAAGCAATTTTTTATTAAAAAAAACTAAAAACATATAAACAATATTAATTAGTCGTGTAATGCTGATTAATAGTCAAAACTTTGCCTCCAAGATAGAGACTGAAGCATCTCGGCGTCCCTTCCACACTTGAGGCCTTTTGTTTTTTGTTTTTTTTTTTTTCCTCTTTAACACTTGATTTTCATGTATGTATTCAAAAAATCAAATTAGCACTGGAGGTTTATTATTCTTAAGATTTTTTCTTTATTCTCTTTATTATAATTTTTTTATTTACATAATATATGAAATTAAAGAATTTTTAATTTCATCTTCAATAAAAAAAAATTTATTTATTGATGGTTCTTATCTTTTTATTACTATTTATTTTATTTAAGAAGATTTGTAAAATTATTTTTTTTATAATTTCATTCTTTTTGATGTTTTGTTCTTATCAAATCTATTTTTTTTTATTGCTATTTTTTAAATTAATTTTATTATTATTATTATTTCATTTTATAACAGGTTTAGCTTTAGTTTTCTAGTTAAGTTCAAATCTTAAATTTAATTGATTATAATTATGAGTTTAAAATATTAATTTTAATTTATAAAGTTGATTAATTAACTTTAAAACTTAAATTTAGTTGAAACTGGATTTATGAGATTAATTATGATTTATAAAATTGATTTAATTTTTTTTTGTTTTTTTTTAAAGTTTTTTATCTTTTAATATTTTATTATTTTTTTTCATTTTCTAAAGAAGTTTTTAGTCATCTTTGAAAATAAAAAAGGATATTTTGTTTTTTTTTAATTTTTTGGATTTTTTTTAAAAATTATTTTTAAATTAAATTAAATTAGCTTGCAAGATTGTAATTGAAAATCCGAGAAATCGACTTGCGGAGAAATCCAACAAAGTCACCTCATCACCGGCCATTGTTGAATTGAAAAAGAAAACGATGCAAGCGGCCATGCTTTTTTCTCTGGTCGTATAGGACAAAGGTCGCGCTTTGTCGGTGCGGAAATGTGAGCTTTTGTCTAAGATTTTATTTTTGTTTATAGATGGGGGGCAACTACTATAAACCAACAAAATGCACCATGATTTTAATACTTTTGTTCTTGTATTTTCTGTTCTCGAGAGTTGTCCTGCATGGTGTTTTTAAACCTAGTTTGGTGGTGGATTCAATCAAAAGCTCGAGTTATACGTTTTGATTAAATTATTAAAATTAATTATATTTTTTTATAAATTAAAATAATAAGTTTTGATAAAAACTAAAAAAATAATTAATGAATTTCAATTAGATTTTGAATCAGGTTTGTCAAATCAACAATATTTTTAATTTTTAATTTTTATTTTTTTATAAACTTAACTTGGTTTATGTTTTGGATCCCAAGATCACATGTTAAACCAAATTTTAAAAATATAATTTTACATAATAATACTAAAATAAAAACTTACATAAACACACAAGGTAAAGAATAGAAACTTACATAAACACACAAGGTAAAGGTAAGACATGACATAAATTTTTTTGAGGTTGATTGATATATAATTTGATATTTATGCTTTTATTTTTGAAGTATTTTTTTAAAATATTTTTTGATGATTTTGACGTATTGATATAAAAAATAAAAAAATAATTTATTTTAATATATTTTCAAGTGATAAGTACTTTACATTACAATTACAAATACTAGTTGAGAAGCTCTTTGGAATTGTATTCTAAATGACATTTCAAGAAAATTTTATTTTTCAAACAAAAATTAATTTTTTTATACTTTCAAACGTTTGGACCATCAAAATCTTACATTGAGCAATTCCCATATATTTTATTTTTAAACCTATGTTAGATAAGAAGTTAAGTTGAATGATTTGTTTTTGTTAATTTCATTCATTGTTTTCTCAATTTAATCCTTAAATTATTCTTCCTAGTTAATCTAATTGTATTAAATCATGTTTGAATAATTTTTATACAAATATTAAATAAAAAATTGGATTTTTATCTTTATATTTTTTGTACCATTGCCAAATGTGTCTTTGTGTTAACCAATTGATTGATTTACATAGATAAAGTGAATTATAATAAAAAACAAATAAAGTGTAATTTAAGTGTAATCAATGTAGATGAAATAAAATGAATGAATTATATAATATAAAATTTTTCTCTTATTACGAAGCCAATAATATTCAGTCACAAATTACTTAGCTTGATTTAACTTGAATAATATTTTTTTTGGTTAATAGTGTTAAAATTGACCCATATAAAGTCACATAACCGAATGAAAAAAGGTATAGGTAAAAATATAATTATGGTTATTTTTAAAAAAAATTATTTTTTTTTAATATTAGTATACAAAATAATTTAAATAAATTAAAAATATATTATTTTAAAATTAAAAAAAAAATTAAAGAATATTTTTAAAACACACAAACAACACACTGAAAGTCGATTTCTACTGCTCATAGCTTTGTTCTTCACTAACAAATATTCCAGTGTGCTGGGGCAACACGAACCTCCCATCACTTTGACCCCCCTTGTATCTCTCTGTCTCAAAATTCCTAGAAGTTCTGCATCATCAGCTCCTGTCACCAGTCTTAAAAATGATGAAAGGGAGACACTGAGAGCGGGTCATAGACGTTGGAATGGGACAGCTCCATTTCCACGGGCCAGAAGGGTTTTCGGTGAAGACTAAGAAAGGAGTCGTGTTGTGAATGCTCCCACAGCTTTTGGGGTTTCGAATCACAGAGTCAGATTCTACAATAGTGTTATGGGACCTGAGTTTTCAGCTGACAATGCCAGTCAGCTGGATGGAAAGATTATCTCTTCATTCTAATCACTGTTTACAAGGAGGATAACAGTAATTACGGCCCTGACGACGCCTCAGGGGTATTGTCGCCTGCTACAGTTGAGATTATGCTAACTTGCATAGAGTCTGTGGTTAAAAAAGGTTAAAGTGTAGTTGATTCCATCAAAACGTATGAACATCTGGAAAATTCTTTATGAGAAATGTCTTGTCAGAGTAATTTTCCAGTGTTTCTGGACACTGATTTGCAGTAGACAGCGTAACGTTGTACTGTTAATGAATAGTAAAAAAAGGTGGAAGGCGCGCTTTAGGGTTATAAAAATCCAGTATAGAATTACAAAATTACAGTACAAAACAACCAATCATCATATGTTTATAATGGTTTAATCTATAGTTATACAATGTGATTTAGAAGTTTACAGTACAAAACCAACCACATTTGAGAGAGGAAAAAAAAACACCAGCTCTTGCCCTAATCGACTGGATTTAGTAGAGTCATTACACCGGCCAGTTTTTCAATAAATCCGGACCAGTCTAGCTATTAGGTTGACTGGGTCCCACGTCGACCTGCCAGTCCTGTCCGGGTTTAATAAGTATGCCTTTATCAACTCAGAACATCGATGAAGTCTCAGTCATCCTCATCCGTGGAGAAACTAAAAGGAAAAGGACAGTCTTACTCTTGGAATTCCAGGCCACAAAGTTTATTCTAGCCGTGCAAAAGAAGCTGGAATTAAGTCCTATGTTCATACTCTGTTTTTTTTCTTTTTTTGATTTTTTCGAGCTAATAGGCTTTAGAAATCCTACCACAGGTTCTAAATTTCTCCGTCTACTTCGATTTTTATCTCCTTTGACAGTAAAGGCCTATAAAATATCTGTCCACTGCACGGAAATGCAGAAGCTATGAACCAAATATACAAACAACTCTCATTTATGAAGTTACGATACCCTCTCACAGCTATGCGGAACGGTTGCTTCCTGATCCCTTTCACAGTGATACTATGGAGCAGTTTTGTTGCGACCTTGGTGGCTGATAGAGTAACCAGCATTAACACTGATCAAGATGCTCTTCTTGCCTTGGAAGACCACATCGTTAATGACCCTCAAAACCTGCTGACTACCAACTGGACTGCTACTACCTCTGTTTGCGACTGGGTTGGTGTCACTTGTGGAACTCGCCACCGTAGGGTCAGAGCCTTGAAACTCTCTCACATGGGTCTTACAGGTACCATCCCTCCACATCTGGGAAACTTGTCATATCTAGTTTTTGCCTCCTTCTATAATAATAGTTTCAGTGGCTCTCTCCCGGACGAGTTGGCTAAGTTACGTAGGCTAAAATACTTCAGCATACAAAAGAACTACTTCGGCGGGGAGATCCCATCATGGCTTGGGTCCTTTACTAGGCTCCACACGTTGTCTCTAGCTAATAACAGTTTCACTGGTGCGATTCCACCGTCATTGTTCCACCTCTCAGAGCTAGATGGCTTGGACTTGTCCAACAATGATCTTCAAGGGCACATTCCAAGAGAGATTGGCAAGCTTCCCAAGTTGAGGATACTGTATTTGAGTCATACTGGCCTTTCAGGTTCCATCCCCTCCGCAGTCTTCAACATTTCGTCATTGCAGGTCATTGATCTTACTGGAAACATGCTCTCAGGTTCCTTTCCCTCAGCTAATGTCACCATGTCCTCACTTCGGATTATTGACTTTGGTTTCAATAATCTAACTAGTAGCCTGCCATCAAATTTGTTCAACAATCTTCCCAATCTGGAAGGATTGTACTTGAGTAGGAACCTATTTCATGGCCAAATTCCTGCAGCTTTATTTGGATGCACACAACTGAAAATTCTCTCTTTGTCTTATAACAATTTTGAAGGAAAGATACACAAAGATATCAGAAATTTAACAGTGCTTGAACAGTTATATCTCGGCTACAACAAATTTAATGGTGAGTCTCCTCTATTGGCCTTGCAATAGAAATGATATGAACAGCACTTTAATCAGAATCTATTCTTTGTCCAGCACTTTTGAACAGCTGAACTTTAGTTATTTGTTTGTAAATGTTACCAAATGGAGATATTTTAGCTTTTTCATCGCAAAGTATTTTGGACATTCAATCTATGAGTCTTTATTCTGCTCTTTAACCTCACCACCAAACTAACCGAGAAGAAAAGCATAAATATTTATATGCTACTTCTGCTTTGTAGACGTAGAGGTCTAAGTGGAAGTTTTATGTTGCAGATGCAGAAATGCTGTTGTCCATCAGCGATGTTCTCAGTTTGGAGTTACTTAACCTAGAAAATAGTGGCCTAACTGGTCCAATTCCCTCTGCTATTGGAAATCTGACCCTTCTACGGAATATTGGCCTAATGGATAACAACCTCACAGGTATGGTACCCTTCTTTCTGTTTTTTGTTAACACCACTTTTCACCATTAAAATAGTAAAACTCCAAGTGACTTATGATTACAAGTGTTTTAACTGTGGCAGGAACAATTCCACCGGAGATTGGTAACCTAGTGAATCTAGAGATAATCTCATTGTCAATTAACAGGATTGGTGGCCCTATTCCCGTCAGAATCTTTAACATCTCAACATTGAGATCTATCGAAATGACGGGAAATTATCTCTCAGGCCATCTTCCATCAAGCATAGGTCTCCAGCTTCCAAATCTTGAGCGACTTACCGTAGGAGGAAACGAACTCAGTGGTCCATTCCCTGTCTCTCTCTCCAACGCTTCTGAACTCCTTACTCTGGAATTGAGTTCAAACTTTTTCTTTGGTCCTATTCCTGATGCATTTGGCGATAATT